CGAGTGGGAGTTGGAGGACTCAGAGAGCACGTAAGCAGCTGCCTCCACGACTTACAGCACCACTTTGCTGTTATAAAACACCTTTATTGGAGGGAAAACGCAATATTTGGGTAGAAGGAGATGAAGTAGGTAGTCTGGATGGCTCACCGATGGCAGAGTGTGCAATTTTACAGCTGGTATATGCCTGTCTGTTTGGTGTCTTTCTGGACCCACAGCCTATCTGAAGCAGGCATTGAGTATACACCACTTTATCCATGAAGCAATCAAGGCGCGATGGCAAGGGTCAGGAAATGGAGAATTTCATTAAAAGAACAGCTTTGTTTTCTGCTAGAAGTTCTTAAAAGCTTACTCTTCCATTCTTTTGTTAAGGTTTATTTTATTCAAGCCATCTTTTGAAAGGGGTAGGTGTGTGTGTGTGTGTGTGTGTGTGTGTGTGTGTGTGTACTCCATGAGCAGATTAATTCAGCTGCATAAGTGGCATCAATTTCTTACCTGTTAGGATTGGGAACTGCAGTGATTTTTCTAAGAGAGCCCTAAGAACAGATCACTGGAGGCATCAGGTACACCAGCCACGGGCCTTCTCATCACTCGCGCTCACAGCAAACTCTTGCTTTGCTTAGCAAATGTCATAGCAGTAGAGTATGTGACTCACCCATGAGAGAGGCAGGCAGGTTCAACCCAATTTTGTAGGGATGCAAAGAAACTGCCCATGAGAATCCTTCCTAAGAATGTTTGAAAATGCAGTTTGTCTTCCTCAGAGCAAGAAGAGGTAAGCTCTGTTCTCTCAAAAACAAACAAAAAACCTGTATCAGCATCTGAAGAGACATTTCAGAGGACCCGAGTTCAGTTCCCAGCACCCATCACCCATCACCCATACTAAACAGTTCATGAGAGGCTGTAACTCGGGTTCCAGGATTTCCAACTTCCTCTTACAGACTACAAAGGCGCCTGGACTCGTGTGTGTGTGTGTGTGTGTGTGTGTGTGTGTGTGTGTGTGTGTACACATATCTTCCTCTCTCTCTCTCTATATATATATATACACGTACAGTATATATGCATGTGCATGTCTGTGTATATATGCACACATATATATGTTTTTAAAAAGAACTAGGTCAAATGTTTCTGTGTAGAGTTTATTCTTTCTAACAAAATCACAAGCTAAAGCCTGCCAAACAAGGATATTCAAAGCAGATGAAACCATTTTTTAGGGAAAAATAGGAATCTCAGATAAGAGAGATGGGACACTCAGTCTTTTGCTGAAAATATACAATAACATTAAATTTCTATTTTGTAGATTTTAATATCAATCAAAGGGAATATAATTTCCCTTAAATACAAACATTCAAGACAAGATTTGTATTATCATTTTTTATTAAATGGTCTGTCCTGGTGTGTGTGTTTGGAGGGGGGTCCTCTGTGAAGTGAAATGCCATTAGTTTCATTCTTATATTGACATGAATCTGAGGTGTAATTATTTCTTCTTATAAATTTGATCAGTTACAAACACCATAAATACATCATCATAATTCCTACAATCTCTATTTCAAGAAAAAGCTGAAGTGTATTTTGAGTTGATAAACATTACTGCTATGTCTTCTTTATCAGTTATTGTCTCTTTAAAACAACTCCCTATTTGTAGTTGTTGTCAGGAAATATGGACTCCTTTCTCTCACTCGCTCCTGGCTACACTCACTTTCCATGCTATTTGTGTAACTACATTATTCATGCTTACAAGCCCAGCTGTAAAATAAAAATAGAGTGAGTGAATGGGTTCTATGGATCAATATAAAAATACGGCCCAACTCCAGTCAAACCTCAAATCTAGCTTACTTTACATATCTCACCACATCCTTTTGCATGGTAAATTGTATTAACCAATCTATTTCTATTCTGAAACTTTGTTTATCTAAAATGAAGATGTCTGCTTCAGACTCTGAATTAAAACTATAACATCTCTCTTCAGTCTATATCTAGAATCCCTATAAGACTTGTGAAGTTTTGATATCAGCCAAACATGAGGACAGGGCATGACTTCACTGATCTGTTTCTGCAATTCAGGTCTCTTAATTTTTCTGCAGTTTTATTTGTGCAGTATAAAATATCACATAGGGTTTGTCTTTTGAAACTTTAAAAAATATGACTAGGGAGTGGCCCCAGCTTTGCTAGGCCAGTGTTCTGGAAGGCACACTCAGTTCTCAGAGGCCACCTTCTGCTGGCTGTGGCCACTTCTGATCTGGCTGAACTGAAAAGCCAAGTATCCCAGGCATGGTGAAAAGCACGGTCAAGCAGACATCAGACACCATTGTTCAGGTATAATGCACGGCTTTCCACTTAACAGGGACTAATTTGGGTGATCGTTTTCACTCAGAACAAAAAACATTTCTAAACTCATTTTATCTGCTTTAGAGTTTCACAAGTATAAAATAAAGAATTATAGCTATGACAGCGCTCAACACTGGGACGATGCCTCTCAGCCTGGAATGAAAAACATAGCATGTTGGCAATTTCAGCCTTTTGTAAATTCTCCTCTCAAGCTGGTGAACCCCAACCTGCAGCTTCCTAGCTTTCTGCTGTCAATTGTGGTGAAATCATTGTCAATTAATCAACTGGAAGAGCAAACACCTGCCCAATTTATTATTATTTTTTTACAAGTAATTAGGGGGTCCAATAAAGCAGCAGGAGTAAAGCAGAATTTCAGGTAAAAGCATGTGTCAAACCTGCGTGCTTCTAAGTAATCTGATGTGAGAGGAGGGTGGTGAGGGAGAGAGAGAGAGAGAGAGAGAGAGAGAGAGAGAGAGAGAGAGAGAGAGAGAGAGAGAGATTGAGATTTCAACCACAAAAGTCAACAATAAGTATTCTGAAATATAGAACAAAGAAGCTTGTGAAACAGTGATTTATTTTTCTTGCCTAGGATCCCAAGCACCTGCAAACATCTATTAAATGTCCAGAGTAACACATGTGAGAGATGCATGTAGGTCACAGTTGTGTGGATAGGGTGGGAGCTGCTAACTTAGGTGTAGATAATGAGGCATAGACAAGCTAACAATTTTATCTATATTCAGTCAGCCAGACAACAGAGGTGGATGCCTGACTCCATCCTTTCTCCACCAAAAATGAGGAGAAGAAAGAAAGAGAAGCCGCCGGTGGCAGAAGCCCATCTACACTGACACAAAACAGGTGGCGTTCTAGTTCAGATGCCATATCTGCTATTTAGGGTTCCTGTGATCTCTGCAAGGATGGGTAAGCTACAGAGTGCGTAGGAGAAGCTACACAAAGCATCCGCACTGCTCCAAGCCCACAGGCTGATTGAGATTGGTTATCTTGACAAGCCTGCTACAGCATCCCTGTGAAGTTTGGGTTACCACATTTAGCTGTAGGATTATAGCACTCAATGCCACAGATAGGAGATAATGTCTCTGGCGTGTGACTGGGGCAATGCAAGCCTCACAGTCTAATTTTAGCGGCTTTGGGGGGTTAGAGGAGATGCGGGTGAGGCAGGACATGGAATGGGTGATGCATGTGAGCTGTTGTGGTCCACCCACTCTCACAACCCGTTCCCTCTGTCTACACTGACAGACAGCAACAAAACTGTAGAATATCATTCTGTGCCCCATCCTTCTTTTTGAGGCATATAGCCATAAATATGAATATGTTTTCCTGAATAGGACTCAAACAACACATAAGAACCACCCCCACACCCATACACATACACATATACTCATGCATGCACGTGCACGCATGTGAAACACACACAAATATATACACACAACACACACACACCTTTTACATTTAACTGTCTTTTGGGATGTTGAAATAATAGTACAAAATGATATCTCTGATGGTGCTATGTGAGTTTTCCCTTTAATGACACAATGTTCCTGTTTCTAGTAGCCAGAATGTCTCAGGACATTTATGGAACAGGCTGCTGGAACTTTGCTCCTTCACACCGTTTTGTTGTTGGGCACCATCTCTCACTATGTTTCTCTGACACTAGGAGAAGCCCTGATTCGTCCGGTAGGAACTCGAATAGCTGAACCGTGTCTGCTTCACACTGACCTGTCTCTGGGTTGCCTTTAGACGCAGACAGTTTGACTATTAGTACAGCACACAGAAGCCACTTCCCAGGGATGCTGGCGTTCTCAGAAAGGGGATTCTCAGCACAGCTTCTTTCCACTCACACAACTGGGCTGTTAAAATGTTCAAAGATAAGCATGTGCTTCTCACACATATTCGGAGTATTTTAGGATATTCATTGTATTTTTCTTCCTCATCTTTTTTCCCCAAGTACAAATTGGTCTTAGAAAAATTCACCACCTGATTTTTGTAGTGTGTAAGCAATGTAAGCTATCTAGAATGCCTTCAGATACATTCTAGAAACCACTATGTTTGGTAATCATTCATGATGCCTAATCTCTGCCCTCAGAGCACATACTAGGACCACATTCCCTGTCTCCTCCCACCTCCTCATGTATGGTGGGTGTGTTCTGTAGTTATCTGTGGCCAGCAGTGTGGCCAGCCCTGTGCCTTTGGTCCAGGGCATCCATCTAGTCAAGGTAATTGGACAACTGGTTGACTTCATTAGCTTGTTCCTTCAGGGTTAGTTTGAGGGTAATTCAGTCCTGCACTACACCTTGGATATGTTGGGTGTGGACAGTTTAAAAGAAAGAAACTTTAGGGAAGGAAGACAGGGAGGTGGGAGAGGCTCTCTTGGCATCACCTTGTAGACTATGGACTAGTTCACTGGATTCACTGATACACGAGGTTTGCAAAATGGCTAAGGCCAGATAAGTGTGGAGACACTGACTTGAAGAAAATAAACTAGGTTACTTAAGAGTCTGGGTCCACGAATGGTTTTTGCATCTTCAGAAATTATAACATCTCAGATAAAGTTTTGTTCTATTTGAAAATCATTATGAAATACTATAATGTTCCCAGTGAGGTGTACTAACTCCCACCGTATTTTGTCTTCATGCAGCTTCATCAAAGAAACGTGTCCCCCTCAACCCCGCCCCCTTGTAAGGCCAGGACATGGGAATAGGCTGGCTCGCTGCTCCTGACTCTCTGTAGTCCATCAGTTTGAAGAAGTCTAAAAGCGTCCTCCTCAATGACGTTAGCTATTTTCAAAGGCAAGCAATACAATATTTAGAACAAGGAAGACAGGTTGCAGCTTCTGTCTCGAAGGTGGTATATTTTCTAGAAGGTGGACTTTGACATTTTTCTGGCTCACTAATATCTTTTCTTTTTCTCATTAAAACTACACTTCATTTATGAGAAAAATACATTACCATACGTGCCACAAATAGAAGCCAACACACCAAAGTAAGTAACTGCTGCTAAAGGCTGAGTAATTGAATGTAATTCACTCTTGCAGCACGTGTGAGCACGCGCGCGCGCGCGCACACACACACACACACACACACACACACAGAATTTTGGCCTTTCAGCCCTTTCTGAAGTCACACCTATGCTTCTTTAACTCTTCAGTGTTTGCACTTGCGAAACTGGGGGGAGGGGAGAATCAGTTGCATTGAAAACACAAAATCAGTAAGTTTGTTTCTCTTCCCTACCTGTTTTCTGACAGGGAATATGTTGCATGTGTGGATGCTTACCTAACAAAGCGTCCCATGTGTGGACAGAGTGCAGGGTTTGAGGAAGGTATTGGAACTTAATTCTCCGAACGTAACTGATGGAAATTGAGGCCATTCTATTTCAAGAGATTCTTGCTTTCAAAGTCACCCTGCATTTCTGGAGCTAATTTGGTCGGAAAAGAAACTGGTTAGGTGAAAACCCCAAATGTTTCCAAGCCTCAGGCTGCAGGTGTCTGAGATAAAAGTAAAAGTCCATATGCTAGTAGAAAGGGAGAAGGTAGAAAGGGAGAAGAGCAGGCAAGAAAATAAAGAATAAAGGACAGGGGCTGAAAGAGGGGGGAGGGAGGAAGGGGGACAGACAAGAAGGAAGTGTTTGGGGGCTCACTTACTCTGTGAATTGATCTTAACAGATAATACACGCATTTAGAAACTCAGACTGCGCATGTCTGTGCTCCAGCAGCTCATTCTGCTTAGCTAAAGCAACATCTTTTTTTTCCCCAAAAAATCTGTTTCCTTCTTACATAGTCCAAATGTTAGAATGTGGTTTGAATTCTTTTTTGAACATTAATTTAAACAGTATGGGAATAGATCAGCCCTTATAAGTCTAAATAAAACTTCCTTCGACATCCATAATATGCTGTGCTTATTTGGAGGCTAATGAAGTTGGAAAGAAAAAGTGGGAAAGAGTTAAATACAGAAAAGAGTAAGCTTCATGAAAGATTTTTTTCTTATAAAATTTAATTGCTGCTCTCCTACCCAACCTATTTAAGCAGAAATTCACAACACAGCTTTAAACTGGCTTCCATTCCGGCTCTCCAAATGTTCAGATATGTTGACCTGAACAGAAAAATGCAAAGGAAAAGGAAAAACCCGTGCCACTCTGTGGAAAGCAGGGAACCAGTGTGGATGGGGAAGAACAGACAGCCAGATTGTCTGGAATTAAAGACAAGCCATGTTTGACATTCAAACGCTGTGCCTTTTGATGGCTTTCAATCACACGCAACTCCTACTGCCATAATAATAAGTAAATTGTGTCACACACAATCACAACACACATTTTCAAAAAGAGCATGAAGGAACGCACCCAGCATTGCCTGGTGGAGACATTGTCATCTCTTCTCACAGGGAGAATCTGTGCTGACTTCTTAAGGTCAGCCAGGCTCATGAGCCTAGGAAGTCACATCATTTTTTGTAGCTCTGTGAGTTATAACCAGAACCTTCTATTTGAATCAATCAAGTAGTTCTCTCCTCTACTTTAAGGTGGAAGCCAAGTACATAGGTAGACGGAACATACACTCACCTGCAGAAATCATAGAACCCTTGACAAGTCTGCAAGACCTCATCTTCATAGTTTGAGTTGATAGAACCATGGATTTGCTTTGCAAGTTGAGTGCCTTCTTTCTACTAAAAATAAATATTATTGTCTAAAGCAAAGCTTTCTGTAAGAGTGGCTACTACATTGTTCTTGGGGGTATTTTGTGATATGTGTATGTCTTTCTCTGTGTGTTTCTCATACAGATGCATACAGGCAGCATCTCATCATTCTAAGAGTTTCATAATTCCTAACATCCAGGGACAGAAGCACCATGGTCTCTGTGTAACAGGACACTGGCCTCGAGGGGCAGAGGACTCCTCTCCTCCCCTCCTTCCTCCTATTCTCTGTTAGAGAGGGAGCCCAGTTATTCAGCTCTGAAGTGATCTGAAAGTTTGTGTACTCCCACCCACTGTAGAATTCCCAACCCTCTTACAAAAATACCATCTAGGGACACTAGATTTTCTTTCAATAACCCTTACCTCAGCATACATACCTTAACTGTCACTCAAGTAATGGAACTGGGTCTACTGAGAAGTTTCACCAGGGTCAACTGGGAATCATTTAGGACTGATGGTGCCTAATGGTTTTATGAAAAGAATCTGAGGCATCCTAGACAGCACTTGGGGAGTCAGCAAGGAATTAAAGATGAACAGCAGCCACAGTTCTTAATCAGGAGCTCTTTCTATGAGAAAAAAAGGGAAAATTAAAAAAAAAAGTGTTCCTGCATTACCTACAGTGTTGTTAATGTAACTTTCTATTTACATAATATGCAAAAAGGGCTGTCTGCAAACTGCAGTAATCTATATGGAATGAGGACAAAAGATACTGATTTCTCTAAAATGTTCTTGTTAAGGAATAATCAAGAAGTTAGAACCTCTAATCTTGCAGTCAAAGCAGAAGTTTGGGGGATTTTTTCTTTTTTTTTTCATTTTTGCTCATGTATATATATTCACATGCACAGACGAGTACAGACAGATTTACAGATATCAAATATATCGTCTTTAACATTCAAGAACAAAATTAAACTTCAAAGAAAAAGTTGAAGTTTCTAGTTGAAGGGTACATTTACTCACTTTTGCTTTAGCCTTAAGCACTTCCTGGGAGTTTGCTCTGACACATCTAAGGAAAAGTTAGGATTTGACTGTGTTTGCTCATGTACGTATAAGGAGAAAAAAGGTGGTGGTGGAACTGGAAAGACGAGGAACAGAGGGGATGAAAGAAAAGAAAATGAGAGCACAAGGAGAACAGTGATTGGAGATGGACTGGACAAAACTGAGACGGAATGGACAGAAATGGAATAGCAGAGTAGAAAGAATTACAGTGGGGCTGAATGCAGTAAAGCAAAGTCGTGTGGAATGCAGTACAAGGCAGTACAAACTGAAAAGATGCTTCCAGGGCAGCATAACACCACGCCATGAATGAGTGAAACCTGAGAGATCAACACCCGCAGTTGTATAGCAAATGGGGCTGACTGTGAGCTGAGAGTCCCAGTAGCTTACTAATGGTCATTAGGTGTTTTGTTGCAGTTCAACAGTTTCAGTAAACAAAACCAAATGAGAAGTGGAGGTGTTGTGCGAAAATTCAGGTGCAAAGGTGTAAATCCTTGCACAGTTTTAGACTAGCACATGCATATTTTAGAACTACAACTGCTCATTGACTGACTCTCCTACTACCAATCACTTTGACTCTTCAATTAGACTTCAATGAGTTAAAAAATTCATATTAGCCTGAAATTGGGGTTTTCCACAGAAAAGTTACACAGATTCCCAAACCCAGACATCCTAGTGTATATTTTACACATATTTTGATGAACCCCTGTTCCCATCTCCTTTCCCCTTTGTAAGGAGGATACTGTAACACGTACACTGAAGAGGCACTGTGAGGACCCAACAAGAGTGTCTTGAGAAAACTCTAGTTGTCACGGCACCTTGTGAGGGTTATTTTACTGAGTCGCTCTTCTCAAGTGACTGACACTGGCCTTGTGTTGTTGGGGCCGCCTGTTCCAAAGAAAACCCAGGTCTCCTTCCACTGTAAGATGACGTTTTCCTTGGGAAGCCTGTGAGGGTGAAAGTCATGCCTGACACCCACTCAGCAGGGTTCTAAAGCTCCATGCTCCTGGCAGTCATCAGTCCCAAAGTCAACACTGAGCTTGAAGTGAATCCTTCTCTGTCCTTAGCTCTTCCCATTCACATGTCATTGAGTCTTGTTGAAAACGGGTTCTATAGATGAATCCCTTAATTTTACAGATGAAGAAATTGAGGCTTAAGTCACCCAATGAATTTTTCAAGATCGTAATCATTGCAATGTCTGGGAGGCTGGAATAGTGATCAATGTCCAACTTTCAGATTTTTATACCCCACCAACACAGTAGAGTTCATCATTACATGCCCCTCTCCAAATGCTATCAAAAACTTTGCTAGAAAAAAAAAGTGATTGTACATTAGACCGTAAGAAGGAAAATGTGTATTGGGGGAATAAAGCAAATTAAAGGATATGTGTGTAGCAGTTTCTGGTCTTGACCCAGGTTTGGCTTTCCCGAGTCCTCTAAATTCTACAGAAGTAAATAGTACAGACTTTACTAAAAGTTCTACTCTATCTTACTGCAGTGGGGAGTCTTGGCGGAGACCAGGAAATCTACCTGATTACAATAATTTCTCATACAAAACTATTTGGTTTCATGAGTTTGTACAACAATCTTACCTCACATTATTGCTGTACTTAGGTAGTGAAGGTCTTCTTCCATACCCTTTATTCTTAATGTAGGTATCAGGGACCAAGCAATGAGAACAACAATTTGAAGACAGTCTGATGGGATAAATACAAAATTAAATAGTGGTATATAGAAGCATCTGTAGGAGTGAAATTTAAAATTTAATTATTAATTTAGCAATATACATGCACTATTTTGCTTTAAAGATAAAAATAATATAATTAGGGCTGAGGAGATTACTGTTAAAGTGAAACAACTATGAGGACCTGAGTTCAGATCCTCAGAGCATTCACAAATGGATGCCAGTGCCTTTGTGGCACTGAAAGGCAAAGATAAAAGATGTTCTGTTAAGAAAGATGTCTGCATTAGCTATTTCAAGGAGCTCTGGTTCAACTGAGCTACTCTGCCTGAGAAAGAAAGTGGTGCAAAGTATTCCAGAAGATGGCCTCAACATCACTTAGTCTCTGTCTCTCTCTCCCTCCCTCTGTCTGTCTGTCTATCTCTGTCTCTGTCTCTGTCTCTGTCTCTGTCTCTGTCTCTCTCTCTCTCTCTCACACACACACACACACAATGGAGGGGTATGGAGAAAGAAAATAGAATTAAAAAATGTGTCCATCCTTGAAAATATGCATAGGGGTAACATACAAACTGAATGGGTTATATTCACATTTGCACTTACATTTATATGTGCATGTAACAACAACTAATGAAAGAAGAGGTCATATGTTGAAAGAGAGGAAGGGAAAATGTTGTAATTATATTAAAATATCAAAAGTAAAAGAAATAATAAAAAAGTATGTTACACCAAATGATGGGAGATGTTCTTCTGTATGCTGTTAATATATGTTTCTTTTATTGGTTGATGAATAAAACACTAACTGACTGGTAGCCAGGCAGGAAGTATAGGCAGGGCTACCAGATGAGGAGAATGCTGGGAAGAGGAAGGCAGAGAGGGGCCACCAGGGAGACACCATGTAGTCACTAGGAAGGTAGGATGCCTGGGAATTCTCCGGTAAGATAAGACCATGTAGAAATACATAGATTAATAGTTATGAGTTAATAATTATGTGAGAGCCAGCCAATAAGAAGCCTGAGCCATTGGCCGAACAGTTTATAATTAACGTAAGCTTCTGTGTGTTTATTTTGGATATAAATGGCCGTGGGACCAGGTTGGACAGAAACTGCATCTACAACCACATGTTTGCATTTTTTTTCTAAGTTTAAGTGTCATTAGATATTTGGCAAGGGAATGTGCCTCTCTGGAACTTCCAAGTTCATGCTCATGGCCGTTCATGCTGACTTACTGCTGCGTCCTCAGCTTCTATCCGTGACCTCCATAAAGAGCTCTGAGGGAAGATTTCTCTATGTTCTCTGCACTCGCCCTGAGGACATTATCAGTCTTGCTGTTCTCTAACCTGGGTTAGCTTCCACATATTTATTAGAACTTAATGCCAGAGGAAAATTTTGCTGAAAAATGGGTATGCCTTTTTCCAGCTAATACATGAATTAGGCCACTCACCATCATGCACAGAAGACAAAGAAAATATCCTAAGCGTATGCACGTACATGTGTGCAGGTGTGTGTACATGCATTTGTGTGTGCACATGTATGTGCCGTTCTGATGTCAAATGTAGGACCTCACACATACTCAATGAGCACTCCCCTTCCCAGCTCTGTATTCATTTTTGTAGGTTTAATCATCTTCCTTAAGACTGATTTTCTTTGCTTTTGTTCCTCTCACTGGATGTATATTCCTTGTTCTTCAAACCATCTTGGGAAGAGCTACTGGTTAAGGAATGTACACACCATATTGCATAATAATTGTGCTCTTAGGAAGTAGGAAAATATGTCTGCTAAAGAAAAAAATGCTTCCTATGTGTTTTAATTATCAATTCAACAAAACACACTATGTTCTCTTTTGCATAGAGGGAAATAAAGAACCAGAGAAATGACTTAATAGGTTAAAAAAAAAAAGTACTTGCTGCCAAGCCTGATAACCCAGGTTCAATCCCCAGGAACACCACATGGTGGAAAGACATGACCTCAACATACCTGCTGTGGTACATGATCTCTCCCTCTCCGTCTCTGTCTTTCTCTCTCTCTCACACACACATGTACACACACAAATGTAGGCAAATACAAAAATACAGATATTGAAGAAACGCATCAATGGTGACAGGTTTGGTAGTCAGTTGATGGAGAAAGGCAGACCCGCTGTCTTTGATTCAGCGAGGTAGCTTAGCTTCCTGGTTCAGCTGATAAAATGTAACGGCAGGAAGAACCATGGCCTCACTGGACATGGGTCAGGAATGAAAGACTCTGCAGTGGAGATGCTGGAGCCGCATGCGATGCTGAAGGGTATGCCCTGCGAAAGGCTTGAGCTAGATGGAGGGGGGAAGCAGTAGAGTTGAGCAAATTTGGAGGCATCTGGGCTTTGACAAAGATAGAGATGTGAGGTTCTCCGTGGGCACTGGAAAAGGAGAGGTAGAAATGAACACTGTAACTGATCCAGTGGGGGCCACTCGGGACTAGCTCCAAGCTCCCAGCTAAGACATCACAGAGAGCCAAGACCTGCGTCCCTATAAAGGCAGATGTGTGTTGTGGGCAGACATCCATCCATGACTAATGAGGCAGCTACATAGGGTAAGGAGAAGGTTCGTGGAGCAAGACTTGTGACATGGAAGGACATGGAGAAGTCATCTGACTTTTTTTAAATGGAAGATTACAGACATTCATCCTCTCTTGTGAGGCAGCATCAGGAAATACCACACTGGATATCAAGCAACTTCCCATCTGAACTTGAAGCCAAAAAGCACAGCATTGACCGTTGCATTGTCCGGGGGCCTGATGGATCAGGAGGGTTTCTCTCCAGTTCACTCCTTATGTAGCCCAGTTCCAGCCTCACACAGTGAACCTGCCAATCTGTGGAGCCAGGACCCAACTCTGCGGTCCTTGCTGTGGGCTCCTTTGTGCCCTATGCTTTAATCTTCTCAGCCCGGCTCATACCTTTTATAGCTGCGTTGGCCGTTGTGCCCAGGCTGTTATCATCCCGATTCAGCTCTCTAATTTCTATCTTGGGGCTTTACCTGCAGTTGAAAATTTTTCCCAGAAAGCATCTCCCTGCAAACAGGAAAAATTGATACCCTCAGGGGCATCCCTCAGCCAATGACAGTGTGTGATGGTGGATATTTCCCCAGACCTCTGGTCCTCAGAGGGACAGCTTCTACACGTCTGCAGCTGGGCGGGGTTACAGCAATACCCAGCTCAGTAATGCACAGTTATTGCTTTTGCTAATTATTCATTTCACATTTGCTGCTCCCTCATCCACACCTCCCAGGGTCAATTCCCAAGTGAAGGATATGCTTGTATCTCTGTTGGCCTCTGATCTCGGGACACCCAAACTAAGACAGAGCTCAAGGCCCTTCTGGAAGTTTTTTTTTTTATAGTTCTCTTTCTAATTGTCTTCTGTTTTCTTAAGCTGCAGTTTCTTACCAATGCCTGATGTCTGGCCTGGGTTCTCTGGATTAACGGTCATTGAAATTTCTTCTTTTTTTTCCCCCTCCCTGGTAATTAGGCCTCAACTTCTTCTGACAGGCCATATATGGTTGTATATTACTTTTGCCCTGCTTTCTGTGTTTTTAGTGTTAAATTCTGTTTTAGTTCTACAAGTCATACCAGCAGTGTCTGCTTGTGAGAATGAATGCAGTAATTCATACCCAAAAAATATTACAATGATTATTCCATCCTGAATTTTAGCAACATCCTTCCAGCCTGCCAAAATAATAACAGAAATGCATTCCATTATTACTTGCAGCCAGAGTGATCCTGAAGGCTCTTCCCTCATGGACAGGATTGGTGCCTGAGGCCCCTGAGGTCACTTCTGTTACATCACAACATGACATCACTCTCTCTTCAAGATGAGCAGCACGGAGCAGACGTAAGGACATCACCAGATGTGGCACCTGCTCATACCAACTGCAAGAAATACACTGCAATCTTTGTAAGAACTCAGTCTATGGTGGTATGTTATAGCAGTCTTTGTAAGAACTCAGTCTTTGGTGGTATGTTATAGCAGTCTTTGTAAGAACTCAGTCTTTGGTGGTATGCTATAGTAGTCTTTGTAAGAACTCAGTCTATGGTGGTGTGCTATAGTGCCCCAATCAGATGAGGACAAAGCCCTTTCCTACTACAGTGCTGTCTCTTTGTTTCTAGTCTAACAATATTGCAAAAGAGTAAAGAAATAAGAAAATGATTGAATGGTTGAGATAGAACATTATGTCCTGAATTTTTAACCTGGACTCAAATGCAGTCCCTTGTAATCTAGAGCAGGTTATCCTACACCCTCCTGCTCTTTCTATCTCTCCCTCTCTCCCTCTGCCTTGATCTCTTTCTCCTTCCATCTCTCTCTCTCTCTCTCTCTCTCTCTCTCTCTCTCTCTCTCTCTCTCTTCTCCACCCCATGTTGATTTGAATAATCCCCTCAAATCCACAGAATGGGATAAAAGAAAAAAATTTCTTTGTTCTGAGATGTTAATTCTCAAATAGCAGGTGATAAGTCAAGTGTAACTCTTCAATTGTCATCAAAATAGAGAAATTTTTCACTGTACTGAAAGGCACAATGTTGGAATATGTCCCTAGTAATTACATATTCCACAAGAAGGTTTTCTTTAGCTATGGCATATCATATACTAAAATACGGTAAATCTTTTTAAAGACTAAAACTTACTATATTTTATTGTAATTTCAAAATTCATTAAAAATTTTCATACATTTTGGTAATATTCTTTTGCTCCTCAAGATACTCCCCACCTTCTTACCCACCCACCTTCATATTTTTTCTCTTTCTTTCCCCTCACCCCATTCCTTTCCTCAAAACTCTTAATGCACAGGAATTTAGGAAGGAGAATTTTATATTTAGTAATTGGATTCTTCTTTTTGTTCTTGGCTCCAATCATATATATTTGAACAGAATTTTGACTTTCTACTAGTCTCACATATAACTATCATTTATCAATAAGATGCTTATGCATCTCAGGTGATCTAATATTGTCATAATGATAGCTAACAAATTGAGATAGTATTTTTTTTTTTGG